CTCCGCATTTCCTTTTCAGGACGTGGTGATACTTTAAATATTGTTAGCTTGCTATCTCCATTGGCTGGATTCTGTGCCATATGGACGATTTCATATAGGGATCTTCCCACCAGAGTCTTCATTGGGTCTATCTATCATGTTGAAAATCTTCCTCTAGGTCTTCGGCCTTCTACTACCAATAGTTCCATGCTCCCCGTTCTTCTAGCGAAGTGGCCGAAATAATTTAGGTATGCTTGGTTTACTTTTTTTATAGCCTGTCTTTTATGTGAAGCTCTTCCAGAATTACAGGTTGGTTCTGTGTTCGGTCCAGGACACGCTTAGAATTCTTCTATAGACCTACATTTCGAAGGCTTCGATCTTAATTCTATCGATTTTTTTTAGTCCATGTTTCAGCTGTATATGCGGCAATAAGGGCATTGACTAAACCTGATCTTAGTATTTCTTGTTATTGTTCGGTCTTTCCATATTTTAATTAGTTAGCTGTTGCAGTCCAGGCCATTACTAGTTTATGCTTGATTTCTGAGGAGCAATCGCCATTGTTGTTTATCAGGGAGCCCAAGTATACAAATTTGTCTACCACTTCGAAATTCGCCACTTGTTGTAAGTGCTGTAGATTATTGTTTGCCCTGTCTATGATCATTATTTCTGTTTCTCCGTGTGATTGTTTGGGTGTTTTGATCTGAAGTCCAAATTCTTCGCTTAGGGAACATCCATAAAGTACGTCGTAAAAATGTTTTTCGGTAATTTTTTAAAAAATTCAATGGTATTTCTGGATTTTTAAAAATTAAATACAAGACTGTACAAACAATTATATTTATAGAGACAATAGCGACAAATTGAAATGCACCAAACGACAGCGACGTCGGATTTACACTCATGTCCCCTCATTCCTGTAATATACCAACGTAATAAATTAAGTCGCCCCTCCCCCTTCTCTACGTTTCTCTAGGCTTAGCCGTATAGCCGTTCGGTAATGGTAATCATGTGAACTTCATTCGCTGCTAGTATAACTGTGTCATCTGCGTATCTCAGGTTAATGATTTCTCTGTATCCTAAAGTGATTCCTCCATCCCATTCATCTAGTACTTTTTTCATTATACATATATTAAAAAGATATGTTGTATAATAATGGTGAAATTTCTTTGTTTTGAACGCATCTGAATGTATTCTTGCGGTAAATTCCTGAAATGGATAACGGCCAACAGATATTGGACGTTGGTATTATCTTCTTTGCTGTCTTCTTTCCTAGTGTAACATATAAACGCCACTTAATTGTCTATCTATCTCTGTAATATGTAAATAGCTACCACGGTTGGGCTGTGGAGAAGTGTTCCTAATGTAAGATGGTAAATGCTTTGATCCTTGACAACACGGTTACACAAATAACGCTTCTAAGGTCCTGACTTCAGTCTGGTAGAGGTGTCTTCGTCGGGGTTCGACAGATTTAGACTACAAGAGATTCGCGAGTGAGATTTAAAAAAAAAAGAAAAACAAGAACACACAAGAAAACACAAAAGAAAAACATTTTGGGCACCACCCTATTTTGGAAGAAATAGGGAGACTATTAAATACGAAAACCGAAAGGAAATAAGACGACAACCATAATGGAAAAGATATCAGATGATTGCGACACGCTAACACAGTGGATAATTCTAATTTTTTATTAGGAGCAAATGGGAATTAGTTTTCTAATGCGCCTTTGTCCGATTTTTCTCAATCGACGATGGTAAATAAATGGTTGAAGTGTGGAGTAAAAATTACGGTTTTATTGGCAGCTACTGATAATTACACTCTAGTTGTTGGTTAGGTAACTTTCTATAATAGACTGCGCTCAAATGAGCTCAAATCCTAAATTTATAATTTCAAAAAATAAATAATGTATACATCAGCACAGAGATTAATGCTTATATCATACTAACAAACTTTGAACTATGAGCTTACAATACAATTCAATCTAGGATGTTATTGCAACTCTAATTATTAAAATATTACTCGATATGTTACACAATGTTTCAATTATACACGGTGAAACTAGGTTAAGAAGTTAACACAGGTTAAGAAGTTAAGAATAATGTGAGATTACAAATTCAGGGATTAATTTGTGATTGAACACAAAGGAGTAGGGAGGAGTAATTATATCCCACTAATAACGACAATATATACAATACACATGTAAAGATAAATTAATAAAGTGAAATAACAAGTTGTACCTGAAAGAGATAATAGTAGAAATAATATTTTAAAGGATAAAATGAATAAACGTTATGGAATAAAAGGAATAAACGTACGTTTACAGCTAATGTATTTGATAGTTGCAATTTAATTAAACACTACAAAAAACAATTAATATCTGCCGAATGTCACAATAGAAACGGCAAAAGGTACTTACAAATATAGCAGGTACCGTTCGCGTCATAAAAAACTGGCACAACTCTTATAACCAAAAATCGTGTTTTTTAAGTTGTGTACGTTGATCTTGTCACATGTGTCATTCTAATTGTTAGGGCACTGTTGCCAGTTCAACGAAAATTATATATGAAACCAGCTAAAAGCAGGACTGTGTGACAGACCGCCAGTTTTGCGTATACTAAAAACTAAAACATTATCAAGCATTCTCGATCAGTCAGTCACATTAAATTTGTTTAAACGTGCATCCTAAAAAATGCTCATATTAATTTTGTAATTTTTTATTATCTCAATTAAGTACCCTTACATTGATTTGTGTTTTATTATAATTTATGAAAATATTTCAATTTAAAAATAATGATAGATAAACAATCTAGACATAACTTTAATTATTATAATAAAACATTACAGTGAGATATTGGATTGAAACTGTCAGGTTTTGAAAAGCGTTTTTTCGCCCCGGATATTTTATAGTTTATAATACGTAGGATAAAGTATAATGTTAGTTTTTCACATTTATCGTTCTTGTAATAAAAAAAAAAATCTTGATAGTTTGCCTATATATTAAACCTATTGACACAAAATACTGTTCGTGTTCGGTAGGTAATTGAAGTATAAAATTACAGTAGATGCATTCCAATGTTCCCTGTGCCAATACCCTAGTTTTAAAGATCCTTCAAACATTTTGGATATTAGATACGGTTTTTTATTATTAATGATAAAAATAATACCTATCTAAAAACTTTATACATTTTTGAACGTTATTTTTTTTATTTAGATTAGTGCAATTCCGTTATATGATGGCAACGACGAATTGATTCATGAACCATTGTGTCCAGTCTGAACACAGGTTTACATTGGGAAAAAAAGTGTACCAGTTTTATATGACATGAAGTTTACGTGATGGCTGGAGGTAGATAATAGGTCTGTTCCTTTGCTTTTTTGTGTAGCAGTTTCGAGTGTAGTTGAGTGTAAGCTACACTGGCTAGTGTCAAATGAAAATCATGGCTGTGACACTAAACAAAGGAACGACTTCAGTCAATTATTTTACGACTTGTTTATCTGTAGATTTTTTTGTTTGATTTCTTCTACTTTCCATTTTCCTTCTTTAATTTAAATAAACTTTATTATAATTAGCTAGGTATCTTTAATTTTTTTTTAATTAATTAATTTTAAAAGAATGATGTAATAAAATTATTATCAACTCAATTACAACAAAATAAAAAATTAAATTAAATTAAAACTTGTAGGTATTTTAGTTTTTAAAGTTACTAAAAGCTTTTTAATGTTTTTAAATTTAAATTAAACTAAAAGAAAAAGATTTTGTTTTGTAAACAACACTCATCTAACAACTACACAGTTATTAAATTCGGTTGGATGATATTGCACAAAACAAGTGTAACGAGTATAGATAGTCACCTTCTCAGAAGCAGGTGTAGATTTATCGACACTGGACTTTTTTTGCAACACTTTTCAATGGAACAGGGAGGTGTAGCACTACACTTTGCAAAGGAACGACTTAGTGTAGCACTTCTAAACTTTTTTGGATCTAGTGCTACACTAGAAAACAAAGGAACATACCTATTGCCTCAGTACTGCAAATAGGCGCCGTGGACGGTACACAAGCAATAATTAAAAGGTACCCTACAGTGCTCGTGGGCGACAGGTAATGACTTAACAAACGGCAAGACAACAAGGCAAATAGAATTAACATCAAAGTCTATAATTAATAATACATAATTGAAATTAGTGGGGCAGTTACAAGATAAATGATACTTAGTAAATGACTTACCGGCCAAGTTGAACTGACTCATTCGGGAACTGGTAAACAAGTGAAGTAAACACTGATAATTTCTTAAGAGGGCATAGATTTGCGTTTAAGGAGGAGTTTCGGATGTATGCGAGAATAGGCCTAAACCTAAACAGGGAAGCATTTTGTGTCAGTTGGACTGTCTTTTTTTTAGAAACTTGACGTTTAGAGAAAGTTCTAGGTAACGCTAAAGGGGTTTAGAAAATGTGTTTTTCTAAAATGGAGAAAAGGAGAAGACTTCATTGAATATATTCTTAGAAGATATGGTCCTTAAGAAAACAATGCGAGGCCACTTTCGGTGATTAAGAAATCGGTGCGTGGCGCGTCACTTGGATTTGTTAGCCATGAGCGTAGTAAAAAAAATAAACAAAAAATTGGCGGAAATTGTGAGATACTTTGAACATGCTTCACTAGTAACAATGTATCGATATCCAGGCTAGCTTCTATACACCGTTTGAAAATTATTGATTGCACAGTTTTTGTGCAGTGTTTTTTAATTTTATGTTGTAGTATATTCGAACTTTCTCAGGACGGTAATATTATTTTTATATATTCTTGTACAAAACTGAGACAAGAAGATATCGATATTTATAATTTGTATCCTTTTAATACTCCTCTCTTTTATAAAGACCGTTGTATCTTTTGCAATAAAAACCGTGATATATTTGTGTATCTTTGATGTGTGTACTATCAAAAGCATTATGGGAATTTATGACAGTCAATATTAACAGCTTGATATTTCTGATTTTGTCTTAGAATTCACACAGAATAATTCCATTTTCAGACGACGAAAAATCTTCATCGTCGCCACAAAGGCCCACAGTAGCAGAGTCTGTCAGATCCAGATCACGCTCTAGGTCCAAATCGAGGTCATCGTCTAGTTCAAGTTCCAGTGATAATGAAGAGGAAGATGATGACCGAAAATCCGCTTATATTCCTGCCAGAAGCGATCTCAACTTAGTGAGACTGTCTAGACACAAGTTGGAAAGGTAGTAAATGTATGATTCTGAATAAATAGCGATGTATAATTTCCCTTTCGATGTCCATAGGTTTGTTCACATGCCCTTTTTCGATAGAATTGCAAAAGGCTGTTTCGTTAGAGTTGGAATCGGTCAACACAATAATGCACCTGTTTATCGAGTGGCAGAAGTAATTGGAGTATATGAGACGGCCAAGATATATAATCTTGGAAATACAAAAACAAATAAGGTAAGCTTTAATGTGAGCTGTTTTATAAAGTCAGACCAACCTACTAGATATGTGAAAATTGTTTGTATCCATTTTTTTAACTGTTAGCTATTATCGTAAAGAATAATACTTTTTGTATTAGTTACCCAATTTTCACCGCTACTAATACGTGATCTTTATCAGAATTTATCGGATTGAAATTTTTTCTCGCTTGCAAATAATTAATGATTTTGCTTTGTTTTTTTTATTGATACTTTCATTATTTGCCATTATGGCTCCTTGCGTGTTTGCCACATTCCTTTTGCTATGTACCTATAGGCTGTCTCACCTTGACTTTACAGTACGGGCTTTTATAGCCGACAACGATGCCAAATTTCATCAGAAAATTGTTTTAAGAAAATGTGTGTATTTTTAGTATAGTAAATATAAATAGCTTTAATAATGAATTTTATTATCTACGTACATTCTATCGCTACCAGAGGTTCTGAAACACATTCTTTTCGAAAGATACTTGCATGTGAATGAACTGAAAATAATTAATATAAATTTATATATTCATATATTTAAGAACATAAAATGTTAAAATCATATTTTTAAGTTGCTTACCAGACAAGGTAACATTAAAAGTTATTTGCGCCAAAGTAAGGAATGTGCCTATTGAGTCCAACGGATGAAAATGTCAATTTTGCACATTCATGGTTTTGGCATTGTACCGACGATATTCGATATAAATTTCAACAATTAAGTGGCTCAATGAACTTTAATAATTTAAACTTCGAGAACACGGTGCTGCAAAGATTTTGATCTCTAAGAATAAAAGTGCTTTTCTAGAGTATTTTTGCCGCTGAATCCAAATCCGTTGAGATTTTTTTTCTATCTCGTGCATTTTTTTGTTACACGGATTGTATTTTTTTTTCTTTTTCTTTTAAGCCCTTCTCTCTATTGGATTGCCGAATACGGGCCTCTACTAATTCTCGCCATTCATCTCTGTTGTTTGTAAGAGCTTTCCACATGGTCCTGCAGTTCTTTTAATATCGTCGCTGCAGCGCATTTGCGGTCTTCCTCGTGGTCTTTTGGCTTCATATGACCGCCAATTCTCGATTTTTTTATTCCATCGGCCATCCTTAAAACGTTCGTTATGTCAAGCTCATTTCCATTTCAGTTTAGCTGCCTGTTCGACAGCATCTTTTACTTTTGTTCTATTACGAATGTCTTAATTGGTTTTATGCTCTTTGAGTGAGATACCCAGCATCTGTCGTTGCATAGCTCTCTGAATTTTTCTGATTTTCTCCATGTTTATTTTAGTGAAATTCCAGGTTTGAGTATGTAAGTACACGTAGGATACAGAAATTAACACTTTGGTTCGCTATCTTTGAGGTATGTTTTTATGTTCAAGTACGTATGAGAGCTTTTCGAATGCTGCCCATCCCATTTTTTGCACGTCAGCTTATTTCGGTAGTCTGATTTTCTTAGCTTACCTTAACATTTTGAACCAGATTTATCATAAGTTTGTCGTCTTTGTTTGACATTAATTTAGTTTTGCTGAAATTCATTTTCAGTCCTTTTTTTAGGGATTCTGTGTGTAGCTCCTCATCTGCGTATCTAAGATGGTTCAAGTATCTTCCGTTAATAGGGAGTCCCTTATTTTCCCAGTCTATTGACTTAAAGATATCTTCTAGGACAGCTGTAAATAATTTTGGAGATATTGTGTCTCCTTGTCTTACGCCTCGATTGATTTTTACTGGTCTTGTTTCGATTCCATTACCCAACGTCACTGTCATTTCAGCTTGTTCATTAATATCATCATCATCATCATTGGCTCCATAATCCATGGTGGGTCTTGGCCTGCTCAAGGATAAGTCTCCATTCTCTCCTTTTCTTCGCCTTGGCTTTCCAGTTTCGTACTCCCAACATTCTCTTTTCATCCACCTGATCCTTAAAATGTGGTCTGGGTCTGCCTCTCCTTCTCACTCAATCTATTCTTTGGTTATAAATATGTTTTGGCGGCTCCATCTCATTCATTCTCTCTATGTGACCTAACCACCAGAGCCGGTTTATTTTGATGGACCAAATAATATCAGATTTGTCATACAGGCGGTAAAGTTCGAAATTATAGCGTCTACGCCATAATCCGCCCTCCTGTACTCCTCCATAGATATGCCGGAGGATTTTACGTTCAAATCATCTTAAACGTTCTTCATCGCTCTTTGTCATCGTCCATGTTTCCGACAGGTGGGCGAGGATAGGCTTGATAAGAGTTCTGTATATTACAAGTTTCGTTCTTTTTGTAACTAGGCTTGATGTTAAAACATTTTTTAATCCAGTTCATAAATATTATGTATTAATATTCTGTACCTGGAGTCGATCCGGTTGTTGACTAATGCTTCTATTGCCCACATTTCTACGCTATCAAAAGCTTTTTCATAAGCTATAAGAGCCAGACATAATGGGAGATTGTATTCGTTAGTCTTTTCTATTAGGATTTTCAAAGTATATAGATGGTCACAGGTGCTGTCTTGTGCCTTTGCTAAATCCGGCTTGTTCTACTGGTTGTTATCCGTCAAATTTAATTGTTACCTAACCTGTTTGTATAATGTTCGTAAAGGTTTTGTAAAGTTGTGAAAGAAGTGAAATTGTTCAATAATTTTTCAGGTCTGTGGTGTCTCCCTTTTTGTGTATTAGTATTGTTTTAACAGTATTCCATTGTTCGGATATGTTGCCTTCGAATAGACATTTATTAAATAGTATTTTTAGATTTGTGATGGCTTCTTATCCGCCTTCCTTCAGCATTTCTGCATGATTCCATCGCTTCCAGGAGCTTTATTTCTTTTACTGCTGTTTCGTCGTGGCTTATTTCGGGCATCACTTCTGAGTTGACACTTGTTATCTGCCTTTTCAAGTTCTGCTTTGAGGAGTTAGGGGGATCGTTTCTGGAACGATACAAATCGGCATAGAACTTTTCAATTGAGTTTGCTATATCAGATATACTTTTTTCTAGTTGTCCTTGTTCATTTTTAATGGTTATTATGTTTTTCTTTCCTAGTTTCGATTTGGTGCATTTGAGACTTCGGTTTTTCTCTATCACTTGTTCTATACGGTCTTCTTGATGCTTTTTAATGTCCTCTGTTATCTGTTTTCTTATTACTCGATTAAGTTCCTTAAATTCTGCAGTGTCTCTTTTGTTTTGTCTAAGAATATATTTGCTTTGTTTCAGCATGTTTTGTGATTCTACACTTATTTTGGATTTTCGTTTTCTGTTAACGGTTGCCACTTCTGAGCTTACATTTAATAGTTATTTTGTTGACTTCATTGATTTCATTTAAGCTTAGTTTATTAAGCTATTTAATACTTTTGCGGGTTTTAACTTGCTTTTATATTGTTCTGTATTAGATTTTAGTTTATCTGTCTCTATATTCCAAGTTTTTCTAAATTTATTTCTATTTTTATTATGTTTTATCTCTAATTTGGCTCTAAGCATTCGGTGATCGCTACTTACTGACGCCGTATTTATTACTGTTACGTCCTGTAAGGTATCTCTTTTGTTACACAGTATGTAATCTATTTCGTTACGAGTTTTTCCATCTGGGAATAGCCACGTCCACTTTCTTTGAGGTTTTTTCTTATAGAATATGTTCATTGCGTAGTATTTGTGGGCTTGTAGGAAGTTAACCAAGGTTTCTCTTCTCTCATTTCTAACTCGAGAGCCGAATTGTCTTATATATTGCATACTGCATAAATAGGCATGATGAAATTGTTGTGACTTGTTCAAAAATGTAAATGAGTGTAAAAAGTAATTATTTCGAAGTATTGATAAAATATCTGCTTGACGGCAAAGTTTATCTGTATACATTTGGCAACCCTGATGATAAGCTTAGTCGAGATTAAAGATACAGAAAGCGCATCAGTTTCAATTCTATTGTTGTGTTGTATGAACAGATAAATATTTTTTTATTATTTGTTTTAATGCGAATCAATCTCGGAGATCGTGTGTGAATATCCCTAATGTGTCTTGTTATATTTTGCGGGTTTTTTGTGGTTGTAAAACAGAGACAACATATTACCAAATTTAAAGACAATGTGTATTTTTCATATTTTAGTGTAAAACTTGGCAATCAAGATAAGACAGGGTCCTCTCATACCGGTTGTCGAACTTGTGTTGAGGCATTGCTACCTAAACAGGTAAAATGAAAACTATTCTTTGGAATACCGATGGTTTGGAGTGAACCATTACATCATGTGGATGATTGTTACTTTTGTCTAACTAATATACATAAGTGGCTACTCAGTTACAACAAAAAAATCTATTGTTTATCCTAACTTACCTTCTGCTATTAGACCAGTAGCTCATAGCGACACTATACCTGTTCCTCTCCCTCCTACTGTTCTAGAAGATGTTTGTGATGACCGTGATTGTGAAAGTAGTGATAATAAGAACAATGTTTGCGATGAGGCATATGAACCTGATGAAGATAACTCATCTAAACTTTTTACTCAAGAAGAATTAGAAATTTAATTTTCCCAAAAGATGCTGCAGGAGTTCTTCGATGCAGATTGAAAGGAAAATATTGAATACGAGAAGTACAACTGTTTAATTTGTGGAGATTTTAAAATCATCGGTATTCTGGTGGAGGTGTGCAAAGTGGATTTACTAAATTCCCTTGTTTTCTTTGTGAATGGGATATCAGAGATAGGTCCAATCACTATACAGTGAAATCTTATAAAACAAAAACCCAAACATATTCTGCTTCCACCTCTACATATTAAACTGGTTTTAATGAAACAATTCACGCAAGTGTTGAATCAGGATAAACCATGTTTCCAGTATTTGGTTAAGAAGTTTCCTAACTATGGTTAAGATAACTTCTGAGAAAATAAAA